TGCTGCTGCTGCTGCTGCTGCTTACATTTGCTGCTGCTTCTGTGTTCATTTTGCTGCTGCTTGACAGATTTGATTTCTTTTTTGATTTCTTTTTCTTCATTTAAAAATTTAATTAACAAAAAAGAAGAAAACAAAACCACAAAATAAAACCCGCAGGGAGACCAACTCACCCCCACAATGCCTGCACGCAAACCCTAAACCCTAAACCCTAAACCCTAAACCCTAAACCCTAAATCCAAACCCTTAAAGAATTGTGGGGTTTAGGGTTTAGGGTTTACTGTCGGGGAAGTGGAAAACAGCTTCTAAAGAACATTTCATCAAATTAATTAAAATGAGAGAAGAAGAGCCGCAGACGGAAAGACAAACTTTGCGGCTGGGGTGTACAGACAGCTGAAAACAAGGGTTTGCTGCTGCTGCCACCGCGCGACCCCCCCCGCTGCTGCTGCTGCTGCTGCTGCTGCTGCTGCTGCTGCTGCTGCTGCTGCTGCTGCTGCTGCGGGGCTGCTGCAGCTGGATCTTCTTCAAAAACTCCCAGTTGGGACCTTTAATTATATTTATTTCTTTTTTTTGAGATAAACAAAAACAAAGAAATCCCTCAACTGCGCAGCAGCTGGCTATACACCCCAAGTGCGGCAGCAGCAAACTCCCCTGCTGCTGCATCTCCCCCAAGTCGAAAAACCTAATAAAAGAATATAAATAAATAAATAAATAAATAAATAAATAAATAAATAAATAAATAAATAAATAAATAAATAAATAAATAATTAATTAATTAATTAATTAATTAATTAATTAATTAATAATAAAGAGGAGGGAGGCTGCTGCGGCTCGGGGGCTTCGTTTTGCGCTGCTGCGGCGCGGCGCTCAAACCCTAAACCCTAAACCCTAAACCCTAAACCCTAAAACCTAAACCCTAAACCCTAAACCCTAAACCCTGAGGCCTACTTGAGGGTTTCATCAGAGCCCGCAGAGATCAAAGTTGAAGATGAGAAGCACAAGGCAGAGACCGAGCCCTGCAAAGCAAACCCTAAACCCCAAACCCTAAACCCTAAGCAGTAGACCCTAAACCCCAAACCCTAAACCCTAAACCCTCAGCGCCAAACCCTAAACCCTAAACCCTAAACCCCAGATCTGAAGTTTAAAAAGTGGCAGACCCACACGATGCGCATTTACAGCAAATATCCGACGAACGCCAGGCGGCAGCTGCAGTAGCTGCTGCTGCAGCTGCTGCTGCTGCTGCTGCTGCTGCTGCTGCTGCTGCTGCTTCAAAGCCTCAAGCTTTATCTCATACCCCAAAACGCCCCCTTCATACGTTCCAAGGCAAACAACTATGCGGGGCCCCTGGGGGGCCCCCTTGGGGGCCCCCTTGGGGGCCCCCTTGGGGGCCCCCTGGGGGGCCCCCTTGGGGGCTTCCCTAGGGGCCCCCTTGGGGGGCCCCCCAAGGGCCCCCAGGGTTTGTTTTTTGTGCCCTTTTTTGGAGAGCATTGGGCGTTGGGGTGTACAGACGGCTCGCGCTGCAGGGGGCCCCTTGAGGGGAAGCAAATGGGGCCCCCAAGGACCAAAAAAGGGTCAAAAGAAGAATAATTTGGACTTAATTGATTTTATTTAATTAATTTTATTCAAATTAATTCCAATTAAACCTTTAATTGCCCAAATTGCGCAGGAAGATGACCCCTGGGGCCCCTTGGGGGCCCCACAGGGGCCCCGCAGGGCCCCCAGGGGCCCCCTGCGCGGTGCAGCAGAAGCAGCACAGTTTGGGATTATTGGAATTGTTTTGAATATTAAAAATAAAATTAAAAAGAATTGTTTTGGAGAAGCTAGATATTTAATGCATGCTGCTGCTGCTGCTGCTGCTGCTACTGCTGCTGCTGCTGCTGCTGCTGCTGCTGCTGCTGCTGCTGCTGCTGCTACTGCTGCACTGCAGATTTAGCCTATTGGGGGCCCCCCAATTGCAGTGGGGCCCCACAGGGGGCCCCAAAGACAGGAGGCCCCCTGGGGCCTGCAGGGGGCCCCGAGAGGCAGCTAGCCACAGCTAGCCACAGCTAGCCACAGCTAGCCACAGCTAGCCACAGCTAGCAGCAGCTTCCCACAGCTAGCTGGAGCTATCTGCAGCTAGCCGCAGCTAGCAAGAGCTGATTGCAGCTAGCCACAGCTAGCTATATCTGGCCATAGCTAGCCATAGATAGCCATAGCTAGCCATAGCTAGCCATAGCTAGCCATAGCTAGCTGTAGCTAACCGTAGCTAGCTGCAGCTAGCTGTAGCTAGCTACTTCTAGCCACGGCCGGCCGTAGCTAGCTACGGCTAGCCACAGCTAGCCATGGCTAGCTACAGCTAGCCACAGTTAGCCATGGCTAGCTACAGCTAGCTACAGCTAGCCATGGCTAGCTACAGCTAGCCATGGCTAGCTACAGCTAGCTGCAGCTAGTCACTGCTAGTCAGTGGGCCGCAAAGCCAGCTGCAATTTGCTGCTGGGACTCCTGTGGGGCTTTCCTTTACACGCTCAGCAGCAGCAGCAGCAGCAGCAAAAGCAGCAGCAGCAGCAGCAAAAGCAGCAGCAGCAGCACCGGCAGCAGCAGCGTTAGCCGCAGCAGCAGCAAGGAGAGAAAAAAGACAGCTTTGCTCGATTAAAAGAGTGGAGAGCAAAATGGAGTCTGCAAGCAGACCCTAAACCCTAAACCCTAAACCCTAAACCCTAGGCCGCAAGTTCTCGCCCGAAATTAGGGTTTAGGGTTTAGGGTTTAGGGTTTAGGGTTTGTGGGGGAAGCCTAGGGCCTGCAGCTGCTGCCTGAGAAGGGCCCCCTTTTGGGGGGCCCCCCGAAAGTCTTTAAAAGAAACCCTCAAAAGGGCCCACCCGAAGTGGCCCACCACAAAACCCTTGAAGCGAGAGGGGCCGTCTAAACGCTGCTGCTGCTGCTGCTGCTGCTGCTGCTGCTGCTGCTGCTGCTGCTGCTGCTGCTGCTGCTGCTGCTGCTGTTGCTGCTGCTGCTGCTGCTGTAGTAGGAGGGGGGAAGAAGGCGGTGGCGACGGGCACGAGGCTGCGTTTGCTGCTGCTGCTCCTGCGGCTGCTGCTGAGGGTGTGCCTGCTGCTGCTGCTGCTGCTGCTGCTGTAGGTGCAGCAGCAGCAGCAGCAGCAGCAGCAGCAGCAGAATAGACAACAGTGACGAAGTGGGTGGGCCCGTCCACCTCCAGCAGCAACTTGAGGTGTGGGGCCCCACCATCTAGGGCCAAAAAAGGAGACAGCAGCAGCAGCGGGAAGCCAGCAGCAAAAGAAGGAGACACAAACGGAATGCTGCGCAAAGCAGCAGCTACCTGCGACAAGCAGCAGCAGCAGCAGCAGCAGCAGCAGCAGCAGCAGCAGCAGCAGCAGCGGCGGCGGGAAAGAGACAAAACGAAGGAACGAAAATAGCGGTAAGGAAGCAGATGCAGCAGACACAGCAGCACAATCGATAGCAGCAGCAGCAGCAGCAGCAACTACAGCAGCAGCAGCAGCAGCAGCAGCAGCACAAACAGCAGCAGCACTGGTTCTCACTTCTCGCTGAAGGGCGGACTCGACAGGGGGCCCCCTTGGGGGGCCCCCCTGGGGGCCCCCAGACCCTCGGGGGGCCCCCCTGCGAATAATTTCTTCCCAAAAATCCAATTTAGGTCTAAGACATTGTAGGGCCCCTTTAATATCAAATCCGAGAAAAGAAAATGGTATTGGGGGGCCCCTGGGGGCCCCCAGACCCTCGGGGGGCCCTCTGGGGGCCCCCAGACCTTCGGGGGGCCCCCAGGGGGCCCCTATACCTTCGGGGGGCCCCCAGGGGGCCCCGCAGGGGGGCCCCGGCGTTACTGGGGGGCCCCTGGGGGCCCCCAGACCCTCGGGGGGCCCCCTGGGGGCCCCCATACCCTCGGGGGGCCCCCAGGGGGGCCCCCCAGGGGCCCCCAAGACCTCACGGGGCCCCCAGGGGGCCCTCAGACCCCCAGGGGCCCCAGGAGGCCCTGGGGCCCCTACGGGGGTGTTGGCCCCAGGGCCCCCAGGTGACCCTGCTGCTGCTGCTTCTGCTGCTGCTGCTGCTGCTGCTGCTGCTGCTGCTGCTGCTGCTGCTTCAAGGGCTAGGGCCCCCTGCCTTGCCTGAGCAGCCTCGAGAAAAGGCAGCTGAAAAGGCAAAGAGTGCAGCAGCAAAACTAAAGTGGATAAAATGCCAACACAAAGTGCTGCAGGGGGGCCCCCAGGCCCTGGGGGGCCCCCCGGCTCTGGGGGGCCCCCCAAACCCGCTGGGGGACCCCCACTAGCAGCAGACCCTCCGCAGCCAGGGGGGCCCCCAAAGCCAGGGGGGCCCCCTAAGCCAGGGGGGCCCCCAGAGGCTAGGGGGCCCCCCCAAGTAGGGGGGCCCCCAAAGCTAGGGGGGCCCCCAGAGGATAGGGGGCCCCCCGAAGTACGGGGGCCCCCAAAGCCAGGGGGGCCCCCAAACGCAGGGGGCCCCCCAAAGGTAGGGGCCCCCCTGGGGGGGCCCCCAAAGGCAGGGGCCCCCCTGGGGGGCCCCCCAAACGCAGGGGCCCCCCTGGGGGGCCCCCCAAACGCAGGGGCCCCCCTGGGGGGCCCCCCAAAGGGTTTTGGGGGCCCCTCGGATTGGATTGCAAATTGGATGGCGAGGGCCCAAAGAAGTTGAGTGGCGATGGAGACAGAAAAAGGAAAAGAAAAGGAGACACAAGAATCTGAGCAGCAGCAAATGTTCTGCTGCTGCTGCTGCTGCTGCTGCTGCTGCTGCTGCTGCTGCTGCTGCTGCAGCGGCTGGAAGTGCGGCTGCTGCTGCTGCTGCGGCTGCGGCTGGAAGTGCTGCCGCTGCCGCTGCTGCTGCTGCGGGAAGGACTGCTGCTGCTGCTGCGGGAATTGCTGCAGGTGCTGTTGCTGCTGCTGCTGCAGGTGCTGTTGCTGCTGCTGCTGCTGCTGCTGCTGCTGCTGCAGGGCTTCGATGATTGCTGCAGTTAAGTGAGGGCAAGGCTCTCCCAGTTTGGAAAAGGCAGCAGCAGCAAAGGCAGCAGCTTTCCAACCCTCTTCTAAATCCAAGAAATTGGGGGGCCCCTGGGGGGCCCCCAAACCCTCTTTGGGGGCCCCCCAGGGCCCCCAGGGCCCCCAAGGCCTTCTGCCCGCTTTTGGGGGCCCCCCTGGACCCTCTGGGGGGCCCCGGGGGGCCCCCCCTGGGGGCACTGGGTGCAGCAGCAGCAGCTGCTGCCGGGCCCCACTTGCTGCTGCTGCATCTAGCTGCTGCAGCAGCTGCGGCACAGAAACTCCTAAACCCCTGAGGGCCCCCAGCAGCTGCCGCTGCGCTGCTAAGGGCAGGCAGGGGGCCCCCCGGGGGGCCCCCCGGGGGGCCCCCCTGCAGCAGGGAGAGTGGGGGGGGCCCCTCCACCAGCTGCAGCAGTATGCCTGCGCAGTCAACAAACACCTGCTGCTGCTGTTGCTGCTGCTGCTGCTGCTGCTGTTGCTGCATTTTTGCTGCAGCGGATAGGAATGAGCAGAAACACAGACACAGGTTTAGACGCTGGGCCTCCCAGGGGCCCCCTGCTGCTGCTGCTGCTGCTGCTGCTGCTGTTGCTGCTGGCCCCCCTGCTGCTCCTGGGTGACCCTTTTCTGCTGCTGGGGGGCCCCCTGCTGCTGCTGGGGGGCCCCCCGCTGCTGCTGGGGGGCCCCCTAGCAGAGCTGGTTGGGGGGCCCCCCGCAGCAGCAACTTTCCGCTGTTGCACAAAGCAGCAGCCACTGCTGCAGCAGTTTGCTGCTGCAGTGCTGCTGCTGCAGCAAGAGCAGCAGCAACCTCAACTAGCCCCCATAGAGAGGCGCCCCCAGCAGCCCAGGAAGCTGCTGCTGCTGCTGCTGCTGCTGCTGCTGCTGAGCCTGTCTTCTTTGCTGCTGCTGCTGCTGCTGCTGCATCGTTACCCATAGACGCTTCTCCACCCGCAGCAGCAGCAGCAGCAGCAGCAGCAGCAGCAGCAGCAAGCTTTTTGTTTGCTGCTTCGTAAAGCTGCTGCAGCAAGGCCTCAGTCTTTCCCTCCTCAGCTTCTTTATTTGCTGCTAAACACAAACCAGCGGGGGGCCCCTTGGGGGCCCCCAGAGGGGCCCCAAAATGAGAAAAGGGTTCATTTTTGGGACCCTTTCCTTTTGAATAAGCAGCAACGGGTTCTCGGGGGGCCCCCTGGGGGCCCCCCTCGAGGTGCAGGGGGGCCCCCTGGCCTGCACTCCTTTGGGGGCCCCCGTCATAAACTTGCTGCGGGGCCCCAGTAGGGGCCCCTCCAGGGGCCCCTACTGGGGGGCCCCTAAAGGGGCCCCCAGGGGGGCCCCCTGGGGGGCCCCCCGGGGGGCCCCCTGGGGGGCCCAAAGAGCTCTTGAGGCGTTGCCTGAGGGCCTCACAAGAAAGCAGCAAACGATTTATCTCTTGGGGGCCCCCCTGCTGCAGTCTCTTTAAAGACAGAGACACAAAAAGGCCCAGCAGCCGCCAACTCAACACAGGGGGCCCCCCAGAGGGGCCCCCAGGGGGGCCCCCAGGGGGGCCCCCAGGGGGGCCCCCAGGGGGGCCCCCAGGGGGGCCCCCAGGGGGGCCCCCAGGGGGGCCCCCTGAGGGGGCCTTTGGGTATCTGTGGGGCTTCAAAGGTAAGCGCGAAAACGTTTCTGCCAGCAAGCGCATGGAAGACTCGTCCACAGGCTGCTGCTGCTGCTGCCGCCGCCGCTGCTGCTGCCGCTGCTGCTGCTGCTGCTGCTGCTGCTGCTGCTGCTGCTGCTGCTCCAATATGCTGAAAAAAGCCTCAAGCAAAACAGCACTCTCCTCGTCAGGGGGCCCCTGGGGCCCCATCCAAGGGGGCCCCTCAGGTTGGTCCCAGAAGGAACCCCCTGGGGGCCCCCAAGTGGGTACTTGGGGGGGCCCCTGGGGGGGATTCCAGGCATTTGCCTTGGCTGTTGCCCACAAGACGGTGCAGATGTGTTTTGGCTGTAAAATTTGCTGCTGCTGCTGCTGCTGCTGCTGCTGCTGCTGCTGCTGCTGCTGCTGCTGCTGCTGAGGTGCATGTACACCCCAGTAGGGTCCATCCAGATCGCCTTGGCATTCTAATAGACGCCGCCGTAGCCCACGCAGCAGACTGTGCAGCTGCTGCTGCTGCTGCTGCTGCTGCTGCTGCTGCTGCTGCTGCTGCTGCTGTTGCTGCTGTTGCTGCTGCTGCGGTTGCTGTTGCTGCTGTTGCAGCTGGTTCAGGACTGTTACTGCCCATGCGAGACTGCTGCATCCCATGGGGCTCAGGAGTGCCCTCTGTTGCTGCTGTTGTTGTTGCTGTTGCTGCTGTTGTTGCTGCTGTTGCTGCTGCTGCTGCTGCTGCAGGTGTTGCTGCTGCTGCAGGTTTTGCTGCTGCAGCAGGTGTTGCTGCTGCTGCAAGCGCAGCCCAGCCGTCAAGACGGCCTCCAGGATGACCGCCGGCGCATCAAGTACATTACCACCTAGCTGCTGCGGCAGCAGCAGCTGCTGCTGCTGCTGCAGCTGCTGCTGCTGCTGCTGCAGCTGCTGCTGCTGCTGCTGCCTGAGCCTGCAGAGAGAGGCCAGGGCTGCTGCTGCCACAGGCAAGTGCCTCCCAGAGAGTTTGCTGAGGCCCTTGCGCAGCAGCAGCAGCAGCTGCTGCTGCAGCACAGGGTTATCGAGGGTGGCCTGCTGCTGCAGCAGCTGCTCGCCCTGCTGCTGCTGCTGCTGCTGCAGCAGCAGCACCAGCCTGTGCAGCGCAGCAGCAGCATTTGCGGGAGTCACAAAAGCCCTAAACCTCCACAGCAGCAAATTCAAAACTGACACACTTGGGGCCCTGCTGACAGCAGCAGTCAGCAGCACATTTAATTCCCTATAAATGGTCCTTGGGGGGCCCCCAGAGGGCCCCCCAAGGGGGCCCCCTGGGGGGCCCCCCGGGGGCCCCCCCTGGGGGCCCCCAGGGGGGGCCCCGCAGGGGCCCTCTGGGGGGCCCCCAGAGGGCCCCCCTGGGGGGCCTCCGAAGGAGCTCCCAGGGGAGCTCCCAGGGGGGCCCCCAGGGGGGCCCCCAGGGGGGCCCCCAGAGGGGCCCCCAGGGGGGCCCCCAGGGGGGCCCCCAGGGGGGCCCCCAGGGGGGCCCCCTAAAGGGCCGGAGACTTCTGCCCTCAGTGCAGCAACAGCTGACATAACATCAAATACCAAATCCCCTGGAGAGTGCCCTGGGGGCCCCCTAGGGGGGGCCCCAATAGTACCCTCGGGGGGCCCCCCTAAGGCGACTTGACCTGGGGCCCCCCGAGGGGCCCCCAAGGGGGGCCCCCGGAGGGGCCCCCCAGGGGGCCCCCCTCGCCGCTGCCTCCAGAAGAAAGGAAGGGGCCCCGTGGGGCCCCCCACAAGGGCGGTGCCAGGGGCCTCGTGGGGGGCCCCTTGGGGGCCCCCCTGGGGGGCCCTTTGAGGGGCCCCTTGGGGGGCCCCTTGGGGGGCCCCTTGGGGGGCCCCTTGGGGGGCCCCTTGGGGGGCCCCTTGGGGGGCCCCTTGGGGGGCCCCCCAGCCATTCCTGGTGGGGGGCCCCTGGGGGGCCCCTAATAAAAGGCGTGGCGCTGTGGGGGCCCCCCTTGTTGGGTCTTCGTTGGGTTTGGGGGCCCCCTTAGGGGCCCCTAAGGGGCCCCCAGGACCCTGGGGGGCCCCCCCTCGGGGGGGGCCCCTATTGGGGGGCCCCCCTAGGCCTCGAAAAGAGCCATGGGGGGCCCCTAAGGAAACTTTTGCTGCTAAAGGAGACACAGGGGGGCCCCCCGCTGCAGCAGCAGAGGGGGGCCCCCCAAGGGCTGCTGCTGAGGCCCTGGCGCTGCTGGGGGGCCCCCCCAGAGCTGGAGACACAGGGGCCCCTAGGAAGCGGGCCCCAGGCGGCATATACTGCTGCTGCTGCTGCTGCTGCAGTTGCTGCTGCTGCTGCTGCTGCTGCTGCTGCTGCTAGCGCGCAGCTGTGGGGCCCCCTAATAATTATGTTTGCATATTTCAAAACAATAAATCCCTTTTTAAACTAAATCATTATTTTTTAATAATAAAATCAGTAACTCTCTTTATAAGGCACTCCAGGGGCCCCCGGGGGGCCCCTGGGGGCCCCAGGGTCACTTGGGGGCCCCTGGGGGCCCCCGGGGGCCCCCAGGAGGACCCTCAGGGGGGCCCCCTGGGGCCCTTCGTTTTTCTTATTTTTTAATTCTATTTATTTATTATTTCTTTATTTTAAATTTAATTTTGTTTTATGTCTTTTGTTGTTTGGAAATACTCCAGATTTATTGAGCTACAGATTCTGCATTCCCCCCCTAAACCCTAAACCCTAAACCCTAAACCCTAAACCCTAGAAGTGTAAACCCTAAACCCTGAAAACCCTATGCTCTTAAACCCTAAACCCTGGGATCTAAACACTAATTAGCATAGCTGCCCCACAGGGAGGAAGATCTCCACCGTAAACCCTAAACCCTACACCCTAAAATCTAAACGCTAAACCCTAAACCCTAAACCCTAAAAGTGTAAACCCTAAACCATAAAAGTGTAAACCCTAAACCCTAAAAGTGTAAACCCTAAACCCTAAAAAGCTAAGCTCTGAAACCCTAAACCCTGGGATCTAAACACTAGTTGGCATAGCTGCCCTGCAGGGAGGAAGATCTCCACCGTAAACCCTAAACCCTAAACCCTAAACCCTAAACCCTAAACCCTCCTGGTGCTCTTTTGTCCTTAGCAGGAGACAAATGAGAGAAAAATGAAAAACAAAGAAATAATTAAATCAAAGTTTTAAATAAATAAATAAATAAAATAAATAAACAAACAAATAAATAAATAATTTATTTATTTATTAATTTAAAAAAATAAATAAATAAATAATAAATGAGTGCTGCTGAAGTGTACGTACAGCACAGGTTCCCTCAGCAGCAGTTTCTTTCACTGAGTGAATAATAAATAAATTTTATAAATTAAAATTTAAAATAAATAAAAGAATAATTATTATAAATAATAATATTTTAATAATGCTATAAATGCCATTTAAATGCATAATAAATACTATTCCTTTGCAGCTTTGCGCGCTGCTGCTGTTGCTGCTGCAGCCTTTGCTGCTTCTGCAGCAGCAGCTGCTGCTGCTGCTGCAGCTGCTTCTGCAGCAGCAGCTGCTGCTGCTGCTGCAGCTGCTTCTGCAGCAGCAGCAGCTGCTGCTGCTGCAGCTGCTGCTGCTGTTTTGTTTCTAGACGCTGCCGGTGCCGCTGCTGCTGCAGATGCTGCTGCTCTATATGTAGGCGATGCTGCTGCTGCAGCTGCTGCTGTTTCATTTCTATTCGCTGCTTTTGCTGCTGCTGCTGCTGCTGCTGCAGCTGTTGCTGCTGCTGCTGCTGCTGCTGCTGCTGCAGTTCTATTTCTAGGTCAAGGGCAAACCCCTAAAGCCCAATTCCTCGCGCTCCTCCGCGACCGCAGCCCTGCCCCCGCCCCCAAACCCTAAACCCTAAACCCTAAACCCTAAACCCTAAACCCTAAACCCTAAACCCTAGAGTTGAGGGTTTAGGGAGGCCATGAGGAAGTCTTCAAAGGCGCGAAGATTTGGAGGGATAAGAGGACACTGGGGGGGACTTCGGGGACTTGAAAGTGTTTCCTGAAAATAAAAAATAAATAAATAAATAAATAAATAAATAAATAAATAAATAAATAAATAATAAATAATAAATAAATAATAAATAAATAAATAAATAATAAATTAATTAATTAATTAGTTTTTAATTAATTGGTAAATTGGGAATTGAAGAAAAACGAGAAAAAGAGGAATTAAAGAAACGGAGAAAAAGAAGAAATGATAAATGGTGAAAAACAAATAAATAATTAAAATAATGATTAAAATAAATAATTAAAAATAAATAATTAAAATAAATAATTAAAATAAATAATTAAAATAATAATTAAAATAAATAATTAAAAATAAATGAAAAGAAAGATAAGCAATTAAGAGATGAGAAGAAAAGAGACGAAGAAGCTGAAAAAGAGACATCGCACTACTACCGCTGCTGCTGCTGCTGCTGCTGCTGCTGCTGCTGCTGCTGCAGCTGCTGCTGCTGCTGCTGCTGCTACTGCTGCTGCTGCTGCAGCTGCTGCTGCTACTGCTACAGTTGCTGCTATAGCGCTACTACTGCTGCCGCTGTTGCTGCTGCTGCACCTCCAGCTGCTAAAGCTACCCGACCTACAGCAGCAGCACCTGCTGCAGCTGCTGCTGCTGCTGCTGCTGCTGCTGCTGCTGCTGCTGCTTGCCTCTGCGTCTGCTGCGAACTCGCTGCCCAAGTCGGGGAGAATAATTTCCGTAAAAGATCCGAGAAAAGGAGCAGCAAAAGAATTCAAAGGACAAACAATTTCAGCAACACTGGCTTGTCTTTCTCCGCCTTCCCGCAGCAGCGCTGCTGCTGCTGCTGCTGCTGCTGCTGCTGCTGCTGCTGCGCTCGGCGACCCCGCAGGCCCCCCC